TATTATAAAAGAGAAAACATTGGTTTTTTTCTTTTTTTTTTTTTTTTTTTTTTTTTTTTTTTTTATGAAGACTTTTTGTGCAGGACGAAATGACCTGTGTGTCTCCCTTTTGAAAAAAAAAAAAAAAACATTTATGTATATATGTGTGCTATGTTGTGGGCCTAAAAGACGGAGGACAACTTTGAAGTGTTCTTCTTCCATGTGGGTTCTTGGGATTGATTTCACTGTTTTCAGGCTTGGTGGCAATCACCTTTACCCTCTGAGCAATTTCTTTTTCCCTCCCCCCCTTTTTAAAACAGTTTTATAAACTATTTCAGAAAAGTCACTCAAATGAAAGTATCAAGGATTGATTATATTTTTCCCAAACCTAGGCTGGACGGTCATCTGTCTTTGACTTGTTTAATTAAGTTTCCAAAGTACAGTTATGCTGTTGTTTAGAACCTTATTTCCAACATGCATGGTGAGCACGTATTGATTAGTTTTGAATTCATGATAATTTCCAGTAAAAAAGTTTTCTCACAATCTGCATGCATGATGTATGTAGTATAGTTATCATAGTTTACTTTCTTGTCTGATACCTATTTTTTTCATTTATTGTTTTCATAAATTAACTTGATTTTATTTTATATTTGTGTGGTACTGAATAGTATTTAAAAGCAGTGTAAACACATTTTCCTTGAAATGACATTTCCAAAACACTTCATTTGACTGAGATAAAAATGCCTATTCAATTCATACGACATTTTATAGTACTCTGTGTGTTGGCAATAATAATACTAGTGTATATAACCCCATAATAAAATATACAAAAATTCAGTTTATTCATCAAATGGGCATCAAATTCTATGGAATTTTCTCTCATGTTACCTGATATTTTTCTTCTTTTGTTTTAGCACGCTTCGTGGGCTGTTACAGTCAATGGATTTATCAACACTGAAATGTTATCCTCCTGGCCAGCCAGAAAAATTTTCTGCATTTTTGGATAAAGTTGTTGGATTACAAAAATAAACTCTCAACACTTTAAAATACCCCTAAATCCAGTTTATGGGATGTGATTAAATCAAAATAAATTTATGGCATGTATTTGTAGAGCATTACAGATTAATATATTTACTATAAAAATAGAATATATAAGGAACTTTGTGGCATAAACGTTGCACTTGGGTCCAAATCCTAATTTCACTAAATTTTTGAGATTTCCCTGATATTGAATATGTAGTGAGTCCCTAACATTGAAAATGTAGTCTTCACAGTTTTGTCCTAAAATCTTAAATGGCTGATCGTGTAAAAAACAACAACAAAAAACAAAAACCAAAAAACAAACAAAAAACCCCCAAGCCTGGCAGTGATGGTGTACACCATTAATTCCAGCCCTTAGGAGGCTGAGGCTTGAGTTCAAGGCCAGCCTGGTCTACAGAGAGAAACCCTGTTTCCAAAAACCTAAGCAAAACAAAAACAAAACCAAAACAATTTGAAAATGTTACTAAAAATCAGATATTACTTTAGATGTTCCTTTGAAGAAAAAAAATGAAATGCTAACAATGTAACATTTGGTGAGAAAGTCAGAATCTGTAGGTTTATAATCTTAAGAGACAGCTTTTTTTGTATTAAGCAGGAAAAAAATGGGTTTGCTTTGTGGAAGCTAGTAGTTTTCTGAAAAAGATGATCAAAGTAATTGATCTACTGTACTTGGAGTAACTTTTATCTTGAAGAATAAAGTAGATATGTTCACCTTTTGAACTTCTGATCCTTCAAGTGCTGGGATTACAGGCACACTTTACCATGCCTGGTAATATTTGTTCCTCTGAGAAGGGCTAGAGAGATTGCTCAGCGAAGAAAGTGTACTTGTACAAATGTGAGGACCTGAGTTTGCATCTTCATAATCAACATTAATCAGGCATGGTAGTGTGTATCTAGAATCCCTTTGCCTATGATGAGATGGTAGAGACAGAGTCCCTGGAGTACAGTGGTTTTGTAGCCTGGTGTTTGCAATAGTGAATGGCAAGAGATCCTGTATCAAACAAGGTAGAAAGTAAAAGACAGCCTGAGGTTTTCCTCTTACCTCCTCCAGCTCACCATGGCACACATGCTTACATTCAAATGAATGCATACACACATGTAAGTAGAATGTGATAACCTTTTTTTTGTTTTTTGTTTTTTGTTTTTTTTTCCCCAAGACAGGGTTTCTCTGCGTAGCTTTGTGCCTTTCCTGGAGCTCACTTGGTAGCCCAGGCTGGCCTCGAACTCACAGAGATCTGCCTGGCTCTGCCTCCCGAGTGCTGGTATTAAAGGCGTGCGCCACCGCCACCACCACCCGGCAGAATGTGATAATCTTAACAATGCTTTAAAGAATAGAGAATAAATCCAAAGATATAACAGTATGACTTGGTTGTTATTTTTTTTTACATTTTTAATTTTTGTGTATGTGTGGATATGTGCATGTGGATAGTCAGAAGACAATTGGGATCATTTCTCTCCTTCAGCCATGTTAGTCCCTGGGATCAAATGTGGGTCTCGAGGCTTGCTTGGCAGCAGGACATTTGCTGGTGATCAGTTTCACTAGTCCATTTGTTTGGATAGAGGTAGTGGGATTTGAACCTAGGACCATGCACATACTAGGTATACGCTCTACCACTGAGCTACATCCTCTGCCTGCTGTCAGTTTTTACAGTCGCCATCTGGGGCCTAGAGAGCTCAGTAGTTGAGTTGTATTTCAGAGGACGTAAATTTAGTTCTTAGTTCTTCCATATGTTAACTGCTTGTAACTCCCATCTCCAGGATATCAAATGCCCTCGTCTGGTCTCGGCACATTTATACTCACACAGATAAACAGAAAAAAATAAATCTTAAAAAGTTATTCGGAATTGTACCTGAAGCTGGAGAGATGGCTCTGTTTAAGAGTACTTGATGCTCTTTTAGAGGGCCCGGGTTTGATTTATCAATATCCATATTGCAGAGTATCTTACCCACTCTGGCCTTTGGATACCAGGCTTGTGTATGGTGTACAGATACACAGTTAAAACACCGCACACACATAAAATTAAAAAATACCCTCTACAGTGATGAAACATAACAGAATTTGGCAATTTGTGTTCATAAAAATTACTTTTACA